AGCATCTAGATGGTGGATTTCTTCAATTAGGCTTTTTTTTTTTTTTTTTTTTTTTTTAGTCTATATATATTTGCTACTTATATAATAAGAAAATATAATTACAAAGAAACATTTACATACAAAAAAATTGATCTATAACAACAGGCAGGGGCTCAAAGAAGATACGGATGACTAAAGTCACCACAATCTTTTTATAGAGCCCTTATGTGGGCTTTACAAATTAAGTTTAAAATAGAATAAGATTGTTAGAAATACAATTGTACAATTCCAATACAATAAAAAAAACTTTTATAAATACTTACATTTAAAAAAGAAAGGAAATAGTATTAATATAATTTTAACAACCCGACGGGCATTTGTTTTTAAAAGTTACGTTCTAAATGTATTTTAAATGTCTTTTAAACGTCTTCTAAACATTCTTACTCAAAAAACGTTTAAAAGACATTTAAAATACATTTAGAACGTAACTTTTAAAAACAAATGCCCGTCGGGAATAGTCATTTAAAAAATACTGACATTGTTTTAAATATAAAAAAAAAAGACAATTTTTTTTTCTAACTAAGAATAATGGAATTCGATGTTTATTTAGAAAAATTGAAAAATTATTTATAATGTTTAAAAATTTCATTTTTTATTAGAAACTTAAAGGAGTTTAATGATTTTACCGTATTTAAATGTTTGGTTTTTTGAAATGTGTTCCATAGTTTCGGTCTACGGTATGCTATTCCATATTCAGAATACTTGCTCCTAATTCTAGGCAATCAACTCCTTTTCTTATACATCATTTACGTAAAGATTTGTCATTGCTTTGGTAATTTTCTTTCTGGTGTAGTGTTTCTTTATCACTTGAAGAAGATGGAGATTGTCCTGTTTCTTATCTGCTGGAGTAAAGTATTAAGAGCTAGATTGAATACGTTCACCTTAAAATCTTTTGATTCGTCTTCATGAAAGTAGGTTGTTTTTTTTTTTAGAAAAACAATTCTTAGCGAGTCAAAGACTCGCTAAGAATTGTTTTTCTAATCATTGTCCTCTTCTTAAAAAAATCATTTTCAAACTCAGACAAAGCTAGTTCAGTTGCAATCTTTTTCCCTTCTTGAAAGGTTTTTGGCCAAGAAGAATGTAGTTGGTTATTTTAGGCTACGCGAACTGCAATTCATTTACTAAGATTGCAAATTTTTCTCAAGAATGATGGCCTGCACTCCTTTATATATACCAATCAAACTAGGCCCGTTATCATAGCCGTGACTTGTTACAGTTCTTTAGCTTAATTTGATCCAAAAAGGTTATAACCAGCTTTGCAATATCAACATCCTTTCTTTTTTTAAGATGATTTTATTTTATCTTATGAACTCGAGGGTTCATTAAGACAGTTTTAATGAACCCTTGAGTCCAAGAAAACTATTGTCTTCTTCAAGTCACTGCTGAATGATTTGAAGGGGACGATGGTTTTCATTAACTCAAAGGTTCCTCAACACTGTTAGAGGCGTGGGACTTTTATTACCGGAATGCTATAACCGTTTTCGAAATGAAATAATAAATATTCAAATATCAACTAAGAAATATACAGCTATTAAACTATACTGGACTAATTTGGGTGATGTAGAGTTATTAGATGTCGTATTTTTTAATGCTCTCTTGAAGCCATACTCTTCGAGTCCACATATGTTCCCGGCTTTTTTTACAACATTTTCTGCAGCTTTTATTTTGGGACCCTAAATCATGATTTCGAAAACCATCTTGGTCATGGCGTTTTCAATTTATGTTGTGTAAGTGATAAAAATTATAGAAGTGGTTGAACCTCAATTCGCGAAACAAAAATTATTAACTACACGTCTAACTAATTCAATTATCTTTTTATAAATCATTATTATGATAACAGTTTTCACGGGCATGGACACTTATTCTCTCGTTCGACGCATTTTAATTAAAAAAATTTTAGAAAACTAAAATACCTTAAGCTGGTAGATTGAGTAGTTAAATGATGTTTGGTAAAGGTCTTGCTTTAATTTATTTTATCTGGGTAATAAGTCAACATAAGGTACCCCATTGTATGATGCTATACAAGATAAAAAGGAAAAAAGCACCAGAAATTGATAAATAGACTGATAAAAACAAAGCAAAAAAAACAAGTAATGAACCGTCTAGTAATTTGCAGTTGCACTAGATTGATTAGCACACTTACAGGCAGGAATATTTAAAGTGATTTAGCTGGAAACCAAATTTTTTATTCAGTTGCTTTGTTATTCACCATGCAAAAATTTTTTATTAGGGGCTCATGTGCCCTCCTTGCTCTATCCCTTAGTAAAATGTAACCAGTAGCCCTCTTCCCTCTGGGGGCCTTGTTGAAAATCATAATCAATATTAAAGCGTATCGATTATCGTATCGTGTTTATTATAACAAAAAGTTGATATCAAAATCTTTTTCAGTATTGTAGCATCAGTAAATTTACCTATTGTTTGTAAAGATCATTAATAAACTTACTTATTGTTTGTAAAGATCATTAATAAACTTACTTATTGTTTCTAAAGATCATTAATAAACTTACTTATTGTTTCTAAAGATCATTAATTTCTTTTTATTTTTACAATGCAATTGCAAAGCGTTAACGTAAGAAAAAAAAAAAAAATTTTACAATAAATTTAAAAAATACGAATTGTTTTTATTTTTAATGCTCTTAAAAGTACCATCATGATCATTATCATAATCAGTGCTCTTAATCATTGCATCATAAACCCGGAAATATCAAAAAGAGAGAAAAAAATATTAAAGAGAGAGAAAGAGAAACATAAAAAAAAAAAAAAAATAAAATATCGCAAAAAGGTTGAGAAATGAAAAACAAAAACGAAAAGATAAGGATTTTAAAAAGATTCCAAAGCTGCATGCTTTCATGCATGGCATACCAAAAAGTAATAAGCTAAAAGGATTGTTCAAACAGTCATACTTTCAAAGAGTGTCTTCAAATAGTGAAAAAATGTACAGTACATGGCTTTATTATTCTCCTGCTACTAATTAAAACTGTTTTTCACGTTTAAAAATTAAAAATGTTGTTTTTTAAAAAAAAATTACGAAAAAAATATGTAGGTTATAATCAGAGTCGATTTTACGATTATAATCTACATATGATCATCTCTGATTATAATCTACACATATCGCTTTATTTTTCATAAAGCGATATGTAGTTCATAATCAGAGGCGATTTTACGATTATAATCTACATATGATCATCTCTGATTATAATCTACACATATCGCTTTTTTTTTATAAAGCGATTTGTAGATTATAATTAGAGGCGGTTGTGTGGGGGTGTTACCCCCTTCCCCCTCCCCTCCCGAAGATGGTGATTTTAAATTATTGTCAGTTTTTTCACAAATTTAGTCGGCTAATCAGGTATTTGACACAATTTAGTTAATTAAGTTTTTGTTTTGAGGACCTTGTTTTAATTATTTTTTTAGAAGCCAGTAGGTATTTTTTGAGGATTCACCCCCCCCCCCTCATTTTATTCGTAGAATCGCCTCTGACTATAATATTAATTTATTTATGCGTAGATTGTATTGTTTTATATAAACGATTCAGCTATATAATATTTTCAGTTCTATATAACATTATTTTAAAAGCATTTTTTTTTTACAGCGCTATTAAATTAATTGTGGCTTTTTTATATCACACACAACTCTCTGATGAACAAATTAATGCGGTTAGATTAGCTGCATTTGATCAAACGACAGGGGTTGCTTGGGGACATTGCGATACCCATTAATATAGTGGGAAAAACTTTTTCTATATACCTTGTCAAGTAACTTTTATAACGTTTTATTTTTATGGTAAATTTTCTAAACTATCGACAATATTGTTGCTAGAGTTGCTCGCTAAAAGCGGTTTTAAAACTTCACTATAAAAAAAGTTAAAATAAGATACAAACTGGGCTGAAGTAATCGATCAAACATTTCCGCAATTCAAAGTTAATTTAAAATATAATTTAGTAAATACAGATTTTAATATTCTAAATATTGAAAATTTTTAGAAGTAATCCAACTAAATTTATAACGATACATTAACTTTATCGACTTTAACATGTTAACTACTAAAAACTTATATTTAGAAGAAAATCAACTATTGTATTATAAAGAATATCAGTGTCTTTATCACACTTTTTTGAAAAATATTTATTTTAAATATTATATTTATTGAAAAAATATATAAATTTTATTTACTTTAAATATGCAGTATCTATCTGTAAATTATTATACATTTACGATGCAATATGAATATAAGTATATGTATGCGTGTATGTGTTAGTATGTATGTTTGTGTATGTATATACTCGTATGTGTATGTATATATACGTTTATTCATATTTTACGGACTTGTTAAATCCGTTTGTAATGGGACTCGGCGATAATGCTTATTCTTCTTGCTCCAGCCATTTCCTTTTGCTGTGTTTGTACGTTGTATATATTCTTAACGGTAAAAGAAATGAAACTACTACTACTACTACTACTACTACTACTACTACTACTACTACTACTACTACTACTACTACTACTACTACTACTACTACTACTACTACTACTACTATTACTACTACTACTACTACTACTACTACTACTACTACTACTACTACTACTACTACTACTACTACTACTACTACTACTACTACTACTACTACTACTACTACAATTTATAGGAGAGTACAACGCTAAACAAATTAAAATTAAATTTTTTACTGCATTCTACGGCAAAAAAAACCGTGAACAAAGGCAACCCTGCCCCATGCCAAACCCATAGTCGATGTAGCAACACTCCATTGTAGCAGCAGGCTATAAGATAGTTGATGTAGTAGTAGGCTATAAGATAGTCGATGTATGTACTGAAGCCAATGAATATTCCATTTGTTTATATTAAAAAGTCTACTAATGTGGCAACCCGATCCTTTTTTAAAAAAGTAGACGATTTGAGCCACCCGTCGTTATATGTGGCCCGCCGTTGTATGTGTTGCATATATTACGCGCACAATTAACATTTGAAAAGATAAGACGTTGATCCGACCAATTTTTTGTTTAAAATTTCCACAATATTCCCATTAACTCGTTTCTTATTGAAGTCGGATTTTATAGGGGCGATGTAACAGTTGAAAATGTTTCACTGTATAAATTAAAGCACAAATCATATTCAACTTATTGACTGTTTGTGTCGTAATTACTACGCTTGGATAGATGGGTTGATTTCTATTTAACATAGTACGTTAGTTGAGAAAACAGTAAGATTTTAAAGAATATATATTTACTTTCCTTTGAACTCTTGATTTTTATATATGAAATGTATGATAATATATAAATCAAAATGTATACTTAATATGTACGTATACATTTTATTTTTTATTTATCTACATCTATATGTAGCGTGAATATAGGAAATACAAAAAGTTTTATTAGGTGGTTATTTTTTTAAATAACTAATAATTTGATAAAACCTTAAGTTTGACTCTAGATTTTTTCAAGTAATTTCAAGACAGAATTTTTATACTTGAAGTCAAACATAAAGTTGTGTGATTTAAAAAAAAGGATTTTCAAATAATAAAATATTCAAAGTACACCTGTATAATCTTGAAAAGATTGTCTGAATAAAAATTAAAACTATTTATAGAGTTTCAAGGACAGCTATTAAAATTTTCAAAATGTGTTGAAGTTTTGGAGTAAAGTTTGGAAAATCATTCGTTATTAGTATTTTTTTATTTTTTTATTACATTTAAAAAAAAAGTTTAATAAAACAATAATGCATAAAAATGTAAATGAATGTATATGAAAAAAAAAAAAATTATTATTTTTTAACTTGAGAGTAAAGATATATTGCAGGCTCAGAGCAAAAATGTTACATAATGGTGAAAATTGAGATAAGTGTATAATCTTATGTAATCTTTGGGGTAGTATAAAAATATAATTAAGTTTTTCAAAAATTAGCTTCCATGTACCCCTTGAATGATGTTGATTAGGTTTTATATAATTCAAATCTAAATTTAATCTTTTGATGAATTGACATGAAGATATTGAAATTCACTAGAAGACTTTATTTTATAACAAGAGGAATTATTTAATAACTATTTTTGTGCCAGATATCAGAATTTTTTGGAAATCATCAATTTATGCAAAACATCTAAACTTTCAAATCATTATTTCTCTGCTTTGCAATATTGTAAGTTACAATCTATTTGCTGTAAGCCCACGAACTGAAAGTACCTTTGACTGAAAGGTCATAAAAATTATGTTTGTTTGTTTTTTCATTATTATTTTATCTTTTTAAGATTATGGAAAAATGTAAATCTAGAATTATAACTTTAAATATTGCAGACATTTAGTTGATAGACAGAGATTTAAATTTGCAATTAATATTATTAGTTTAAAGTTATCTCAATGTCAGTTAAGAAATTAACCTTAAGGTATTTCAGCATGATATTATCAATGATGTTTTATGTGCACCTAAGCACTAATTTATTCTTAAACAGTAATTTTTTCAAACTGTATTACTTTGTTTTATATCATATCTTTTTTTTTTGTGCACACAAACATGTAAACTATTATTAGTTATAAACTTATGAAATGTGTATTTGTTTAAAAAACAAAAGTAAAATTAATAAAATTAAATAATAATAATTAAAGTTAATTAATGACTTTATTCCATGATAAATCTCATGTCATTCTATCATGTCATAATATTTAATTGTGTCTAATTCTATTATGTCATTATATTTAATTGTGAATGAAGTGAGGTGTGTTTGAATGATTTTGAATAGATATTTATTTTAATTTAGAACTTAAACTACTTAAAAATATATTTAATATTTAGTTTTTTTTTTACTTTATAATTATTATTATTGTTTTTAAATATTTGCATTTGTATGAGAGTTAGAACTTTTAAAATCGTTTTTCTCACAACTGTATAAAATGAACATACAATGTTTTAAATTAAACCCATTGATATATATATATATATATATATATATATATATATATATATATATATATATATATATATCGGTGGCACTGGGAGAATTCCCATTGGGCCAGTATGAATTTGGCTGGCCTAAATCAGGTTGGTCAAAAAGTTCAAAATAAGTGAACGCAAGAAAAGAAAGGGGGAAGCTGAAAATTATTATTTTCTCAGGTTTTAGCAATTTTTAACCCGTTTCTATACTATCTTTTTCTTTGATGCAGGCCGGACAAATGTAAAATTCTTGGGCTGATTTCAAGTCTCTGTCTGCCCCTGATATATATAATAAATATATTTTAAACAATCTTCGCTTCCAACAAGGCTGCAAGCAACCACTCATTAGAGTTGGAAGTTAATGGAAGAGAAAAAATAAAGATTGTAGAGCAAGATAATGATTGACAGACGACTTAAAGGATTGCAAATTATATGAATCAGGAAAGCAAGGTGAAGGAAGTGAGTTCCAAAGAACTGATGTTCAAGGAAAAAAATTAGAGGAGTAAGAGTTTTTGGAGCACTTAGGAACAGTCACAGAAAAAGGATGAGATTTAATTGAATGACGAGTAACACAAGAGTGAATTTTAGTAGATAACACAAGAGATGCTAGCTCTTTAGAGCAGTGCCCATTATAGTATTTGCAGAAAAGAGAAAGAGAAGCAACATTACGACAATGTGATTATGATTGGAGGTTGGCTACAAGAGCAGGTCCAACTATGTTTACAAAGCGTTTTTGCACATTGTCTAAAAGAGAAAGGGCATCATTAGAAGATCCGTCCCAGATATGGCAACAGTATTCCATACAAGGCCGGATTTGAGGTTTATAGAGATAGAAAATAGAATCCGGAGTAAGAAATTGTCAAGCTTGGTAAAGAGATGCAACCTTAACAAATGCTAATTTTGCAACAGATTTGATATATGTTTTTCAAGAAAGATTGGAAGTAAGAGTTAATCCTAGAAGATGAAGGGTAGATGACATATCAAGTACATTACCAGGCCTTGTGATGAATAAAAACTGTGTGATGCATAAGCACGATGTGATTTTTGACGTCATTAAATTCTTTTTATTTGCTTTTCATATTTATCGACATTACCTGCACCAATTTACTTAATTACCGCAAAACTACTTTAAATCATTAATGTAGAAATGTTATTATTTAAATAATTATAAAGTATGCTAATATTTGATTTTCTCAAATATGTAATTTAAAGTTTTTCAAATAATTATTTTTTCTTTTTAAAAAGTCAGCGAGTAATAAACTGGAAATTTTAATATTGTACGATTAAAAACTGTGCAATAGCTAATATTTTTACTAGCGATTTTATATAATATTTTTTTATTTATTTATTTTTATTTATTCTCATAAAGCGGTTGATAAGCACAATCACTCGTATTACTAAGAAACTTTAACGAACGTTTTGAATAGATTTTTAATGTTTACAAGGAGTTTTATTTTTGGTAAAATAAAATAAAATGTTAGAATGAAAATCTTATAAGTATAAAAGACATATTTTAGCGAAAAAATTGTTCTTAAAAATTATTCTTAAAAATTATTCAAAAAACTATTGACGTTCTATTTTTCAGCAGCAGTTCTTGAGCACGCTTTGTTGTTTTTCGGTAACTTTTAACAAAAAAGCGATTGTTATTATTTAAGTAATTTTTTTCGAGTTATTTTTTACAAAAATTTTAATAGCTGTACTTTTTTATTGAATCAAGTAGAATACGTTTTAATATTAATCCTTTTATTTTTTTTATTTGCGCTTACCAATTTTTAAAATGTTTCCTCGAAATTACTCTTAAATACTTTAAATACGTCTAACAGTTAATAAATATTTTTAAATCTATGGAATAATTTTAAAACCTAACAAACCCCCGTAAAATAATTTTTTAAGTTAAAAATCTAAAACTAAAAGAAAGTATTTTTGTTCAATTTTATCGACAACTTTGCTATTGCTGAATAATTTTATTAAAATGTTAGCTTAAAAAAATTTAAACTTTTTTTTTAATCTGAATTTTTTCTGCTTGTAAATAATGAGCATATTTAATTTTTTTGTAATTCAAACTTTTATATCAACTGCGTGCGATTTTAAAAATACTTTATTAAAGGTTAAAATAATCGTAAATTACTTCATTAAAATTCCGCTCAAAAATATCTTTAAATATACTCAAACAAAAATTTTTTTGCTCGATGCAAATAGCCCTAGCTACACGCAAAATTGCTCTTGGACGACGTAAAATTCAGATCGCCTGACGCTTTATCGCAAGGCCTGCATTACCGTTCATAAATAAAGGAAGGTCTAAATTATTTTGATAACATTTGGCTGAAAAAAATTGAATTTTATCTGAATTAAAGTTCCCCAGCCACTGTGAGCCCCATGCTGTAGCAGAAGTGAGATCCTTTTCAAGCTCAAATGCCCCCTCCAAGCAATCAGAGAGCGTGGGCTTCTTATCACAAAAATAAATGGTAGTATCATCAGTGAACAATGCCACCTCAGATGTGAGAATATCTGGAAGATCATTAATGTAAATAGTCTGTGAAATTCAGGTTGTCATTAGGATGGCATACAACTGCCGACCTGAATATCCTAACGTGTCGGCATGTAAATTGAAATACATGTAAAAAAGGTGCTCCTGAATTTGCATTGATGTTTGTTGAAGATCTTGAAGATACAAATGCAGAAGGCTTAAAAGTGGCTTTAGAAGCATCTTTTTTAAAATTAGAACTCTCTATTGATAGAGCACATCATGAAATAGGTCTTTGCTTTGATGATTCTTCTGTAAATCATGCTCTACATAGACTAATCAAAAATAAGCTGGGGAGTCGTCATGCTTCAGTTAGGTGTCCCAGTCATTGTCTAGAACTGGCAATAAGTGACGTATTTAAAGAATCTGCAATTAATACAATTTGCAAAAAAACCTATACAGATTTGTATATCCTTTCTAAAAAAGCAACACTTAGATGGTAATTGTTTAAACGACAGGATTTGTAGGTGTGAAATGTAAAAAGTACAAGCGCTTATCAGTCCAGGAATCCATGTTTTTACCTGAAGTCCAGAGTTCCACTTGTCATAAAAGTTGTTAGGGCTATGGGATTTTATTTTATATCAGCATATGAACATTTCCTAACTAACCTTTATTAACTTCTATAGGTTTATTAAATTAAATTTGTTTAGCAACAGTTACGTAACTTTAAACCAGTAAAAGCGCGGGTGCAATGAATAAAGCTGTGTATGTTGAGCCCCCTGGCAGATAAATTAATAAAAAATGTGCAGCGTGTTTATGCCATACATTACCTATAACCGACATTGCTTTTAAAGAATATAAGAGGCGAATCATAGCATATGCGGTACACAAAACCTTTGCACACTTTTTTTTTTTTTTGTTATTCACTTCCTCAAGGCCGAGAAGGCCAATGCAGACGAGGAGGCTACTTAATAGTGGTTATAACCCTCTCTTAACTCTATAACTCTGAAACACGAACCTTGACGAACAAGGCCGCTGCGTGGAGAAACAAGTTGAGCGCGGTACTACCAGAGGCGTGGTAGGGATCGAACTCAGAACCTCTCACTTATGAAGCGAGTGTTTTACCACTACACCACTACCGCATATCTTATATCTAGTAGGGCTTGGCAACTGGTGGAAACCGCAACAGGTTTTTTTTGATCAGTTTTGTCAAAACTGAAAAGGAGGGGTTTTTTTCTGAAAAAATGCAAAACCATTCAAAAATTAAACGTTGCTAAATAGATAAATAGTTTGAAGCTTTCTTGTTTTGACAAGCTAACAAGTAACATAGAAAGCATGAATATTGTGAAAGTATATTTAATTTTTAAATAGCACTTTGATATTTCATATTTTTTTTATTTATTTCAATATTTTTTCTGCCAATTAATTAATAGATAAGTATTCAGATGACATACTAACTGAATTTTTCGACAATATTTAAAATTGTTAAAATAACAATAACAATTGTTATATTTCAAATTAAAATAATTAAACAACAAAAGTAAATTTGTTTTCAACAAAATTGTTTATGCAATTTTGATTTTGTATTACTTTAAATATTATAAATCATAATATATTCTTACATTATATTTTTTTAAACAGATCACATGCATAATTTTCAGTTGAAAATAGTATAGTAATAAAATATAGGTTATTGAGTTTATACAAAATATAATGGTTGAAATGCAAGAAAATTAGGCTTTAAAAAATTTACGATTTTCATTAGATTTGAAAAAATTTATGATTTCATTAGATTTGATGACATAATAATGATATTAATGTTACTGTACATTAATAAAAACTAATGTTTAATAATTAATGAAAAAAATTTAATTTTTTTTAGTTGAAGTATGAAAAATTTTCTTTAGTTTACAAATCTAATTCTAGTATATCAAGTCTGTAGGTTTTTTGTTATATACAACATTTATATGATTTATACAACAAAATTTATACAAATTTAACATGATTTATACAACAAAATAAAATTTGCTTTTATAATTAAAAAAACTGGTATAAAACGAGTTACCTGGTTTTAAAATTTAAAAATGCGGAAAAATGGTTTTTGAAATTTTTTGGTTTTGCCAAACCCTAATAGCTAGGTTCAGAATTATGCTTTGACTAGGGTTGTCATTGTCCTGGTTTTTCCATAGGAAAACACAATGGGAATTTTAATTAGTTTAGCGCTTTGTTTTTTTTATGTAAAAACAGGGGAAAACGTTAGCTTAGGCACATATATTTAGTCACTAGAAAACTACTGCAGCTGTTGCACTATTCTGATTCAGAACCAAGAGGTTTGAGGTTCTACGCCTGTATTAATGCTAGAATAAAAGAAAGTATTTTTCTAATGATATTATTAAACTAACAGATATGGTTATTATTATAATATTGTTATCATTAAACTAACTGATAAAATAGTTTTAAAAGTCTTTTTTAAACTTATTTATAAAAGTAGGATTTTACAACTGTAGCATTTAAAGTCTATGAAATCTGTCTGAGCACATCGTCAAAAAAATTTTTGTAATATTTTGTCGTTATAATTTATTATTTAAATTTAATAAAAATGCATTACAACATTTCGTTTTAAATACGCGTTTAGTTTACGTTTAAGTTTAAGTTATTATAAAAATAATTTTAACAATTTTTGTGGTTATTTAACTAATAGTATAATTTTGAAAAGTGTATAAAATACGAGAAGGATCATGCGCAGAGAAACAAGTTGAGCACAGTAAATGAACTTAGAAATTTTTGCCTACCTGGCAAGCGCTTTACCACTACTCCACTACCACACGGAGTAGCGGTAGAGTAAAATGATTATATATACAGGGGCTATTCTAGACCGTTTTTTGATAGCATCGTCCGTATTTGGGCGCTGTCCATAATTAAATTTGAGGACATTTTTTTTTACGTTTTTTTTTGTTGTTTTTTTTAAGTTTTCACGTCCAAATAGCGGTTTATTTTCAATGAAAATTTCCACGGAAGAGAGCGAATGATCTTTTACTTCAAACTATTATTCAAATTCTATTTGACGTCCTTTATGGGCAAACCCTTACACCATCATGTAACATGGTGGATGAAAAAAAAGCATATGTATTTTATGGACGATCCCTTATACCAATAGCCGCATTTTTATTTCAAGTTTTAAACAAATTATAATTTTTTATGTTATTTTTCTATTAGTTTTTAATAGTAATTAATTTTCAATAACTTTTAGAATTATTATTAAACTTTAATTTGGCAAACTTTATATGGAGAATAGGATTTTTTCACTTTTAATTTGGGAATTGATTTTATGAGCATTTGGAAATACCGCATTTGACGGGGCCCCACAGTTCTAGTTTACACCCTGATATATATATATATATATATATATATATATATATATATATATATATATATATATATATATATATATTAAATTGCATATAAATTGTTAAAACATCAAAACAGCCATTGTCAAATTGTAAAGAAAGGAAAAGAAAAAAAAACTAAAAATTCACGCCGTAACTGTCAGTTACGGCGTGAAATTTTAAGTCTATCTAAAAAAACGTGCAATAATAAATTTAAACTATTTTATAAAAATACAAAAAAATACGATGAATTAATCTAAATAGTAAGGAAAGAAACTGTAACTTCACTAGACTACCGTTAAATAAACTGAATAACATGACAAAGGTTATGATTGTATAACTCGACTCCATAAAACCGTAAAAATTTGATCGGACAACAGTTGATCAGTTGTTTTGAAGCATTTTGCAATGAATCATTTATTTCAATATTTTGTATATTTATTATTTTATGTTTTTAGCAATGAATCAATATGTTTGAAGGTCAAAATATTCATTTGTCACCTATTGATGGGAAAAAACTTTGCAGTTTTAGTAAGAAACTTTGTAAGCAGCGTCGTTTAAATGGATATGCATTTTGTGTGCGACATATTTTAGAAGACAGCAAAGCGCCATTTAAGCAATGTGTATATAAAACAAAAACTAATGGAGAGCGTTGCATTAACTCTGTTCCTATTGCTCTTGATAGAGTGTAAGTAATTTCTTTAAAAAGTACAGTTTTAATACTTTTTTCTTCCGAAAAGAATGTCATAGTTAAAATTATCTTTAGTTTTATTTTTTCAATTATTTTTCTTGTGTGTTATGTTTTGGTATAATTTTTTACTTACCAGATATTGTATGAATCATCTGCAAGTACTTGGTTTGGCACCTAAAAAACCAATTACAAAACCTGTTATAAAACCTGCTATCCCTACTTGCAATAAAAAAAAACCCACAGAGTCCTCTAAAAACTTTAGTCTCTCACAAGAAAAACACACAGACAAAATGAATAGCATCATACATCCTAATCGTAAAACTGTAATTAAAGTAGGAAAAAAATTTAATAAATCCAAAATAAAAGACACCGAAGCTGTTAATAAAATTAATAATGCATCATATAAAATAGATATTTGGAGAGACACTTTAAATAAAGAAGCACACGCTATTATTTTAGATTATGTTAAATCTTGTAATACAAAAATTTTGGAGAGCGATGATATGGGATTTCATTGTAAGTATGTTTTTTTTTTTTTTGTTCTATTGACAGCTGCTTGTTTATGCATTTAAGTTTATTAAAGCAGGTTTTGTTTCATATGAAACAAATTTTAAAAACACAATTTAAAATTCTTTATTTGCCTCTTTGTTTTAATGTTCCATTTCACAATCAAAGATCTAAAAATTTTTTTGAATAATAACTTCATTATTATTGCTGACGTTAAAAATGTTTCCATGTTTGAATATCAAAGTGTTATATATAAAAGTAAATAGTTAACCAATTTTTACAGTGAATTCTATATAATGAAATAATATAATAAATATAATAATAAATTCTAAATTAAAATTAATTTTAAATTTAAGTTTAATTTAATTTTAGATTTAAGTAAATATATTTAAATTTTAGGTTCAGTATGTTGCTTAGGCTAATGTAAAATATCTTTAAACATTAATATTCTCATCGCTTAACAGAGACATTGTATGTCACATTATTTTTTTACAATTTTTCTAATTGTAAATGATCTTTCTAGGGCCCTGCGAATTGGCAGTTTTTGTTTTGAATCTCAAATCAAAGCTGGTCTTGATTTGTGGTTCGAATCACTTTTCGAATCGACATTTTGAAGTCTAAATTTAAGCATTTTTTTTTTAATAATACATATTTCAAAATAAAATAAAATAAAAATATTGTATAATCTCTTTATTGATGCTTCTTGCCCTGGTTAACCTTTTTAATGACTGATTAAAAAAGTATTTAAGGATAAGTAACGTTATTTCGATAGCGCCAAAGCGCATAATATCTAAAATACCTGCAACAAAAACAAAATAAGTAAGGATTTGATTTCTGAATATTTTCGAATCGCATCACGAATCATTTTTTTGATTTGATTCGAAATTTTGAAGCTTCACAGGGCCCTAGATCTTTTAGAATCCCACAAAGTTAGTTTAAATGTGGAAATATATTGATTAACTTGCTTAAGATAGTTACTCTGTTTGTTTTTTTTACTCATTCTACATGTGCTCTCTAACAGTTTCTCCTTTTTCTTGTTTAGGTGGTTAAAACAATTCAATGATTTCACTAAAACTTTTACTTAAGATTTTTTTATCAAATGGTGATCAAAAATTTTAATTGTAGAGCGGAATGCGTATAACAGCTTAAAAATAATAATCTCTTATAAAAAATAATAATCTCTTCTGATCACTATAATAGGACTTTTTTTTATAGTGAGTTCATCTCCCAAAAAGAACAGACAGTTTGTAGACAACACATTTTATTTTTAATTTCAAATTTCTTTAAAATTTCAAATTTGTTAAATTTAATGTCACATTTTTTTTCTGAATAAAAATTTTCTTTTTCTTTTTTTATAATAGACTACTTCAATTGGTTTTAATCAGTTTTAATCAGTAATTGTTTTTCTTTCTCTTTTATATAATGAATCATTCTTTTTGTCATTTTTTTTTAATTTATTTTATTTAGAAATCTCTACGTTCACTTTTCACAGATTGCTTAATAACACTTTTATTTTTATGGTGTAACTGTGAACTCTTAGTTCACAGTTACACCATAAAAAGAGAAAAAATTAACTTTTTCTCTTCCCTACATAGCTATTTAGCATTTTTTTAAAACTTATAAAAGGAAAGAAGGGCTTATAAAAGTCTTTTTTAAATTGCAACAAATTATTTTTGTTCATCAAATACTTTTATAAAAGTTGTGAAAACACTTTTATATACGAATTATTTTATTTAGAATTCAAATAAACTATCTTTATTTTTTAGTTGTTTTTATTTTAATTGTTTTAATTTAGAGCTTAAAATAAGACGTTTGACTTTGTTTTTATTTTAATTATTTTAATATTTATACAAAATGTTTTTATTATTATTATTATTATTTTTTTGTTGCTGTTTTTATATTACTTTATCTAGAATTTTGATAAAACAATTGTTTCGCTATTTTTTAATATTTTAATATATTTCTTGCGAATAAATTCTAGTTAACCAATTTTTACAGTGAATTCTATAGTCTTCCTTGTTGGAAATGAAGACACTTAAAAAAAAAATGTTTAGATAAAAGTCAAAAATATCAGAAACAATTTTGAGTGTTGCCTCATTTGAAAGTGAAAGTTTAACTTCAGATTCAGGCTCATAAGCTGTTAATGATATAGCTAGATTTAAAGCATCAAGTCTTTCAAGTTACTCAAATATTAATTTGCGCATTTTATTGAAAACGAAACTGTTGTTAGCTGTATTTCAGATTAGGATTGAATGATGATTCTGTCATTGTGCATATACTGAAGGATTCCACTTATATCTGTATGCCTTTGTTGCATTCAAAGGAGAGATGAATTCATTTTTTTACTTATACTTTTGTTAGCAGCTTTAAGTTTTTTACATATAATAGTTATGGCCACATCAGCAAAAAGTATCCTTATAAAAAAAAACAAATTAGTATCCTTACAGTAAAGAGCCTTAACTGTTGTTTTAATTGGATTATGGTATTAATAATAGCAGATGCAGTTTTAATCTCATTAGATTAAAATAAATAATGACTATTTAAGATATAATAATAATAATAATAAATGAATAAGGCTACTATGCAGAGAAACAAGTTGGGCTCAGTACTAACAGGAACGTTAGTACTGAGAAACAAACTTGAAACATTTTGCTTACTTTGTAAGCAAGATGTTTCAAGTTTGTTTCCCACCATTAAGTTGGCAATGTCATATTTTGTTGTTGCTCCACCAAAAACAGTCATACATACATACATACATACATACATACATACATACATACATACATACATACATAAATACATGCATACATATGTACATTTTTTTCACACTATGCTTTCGGATTTATATTTGTTTAAGTTTATTTCAGTACTACCAAGAATGTGGTGGGGAACAAACTTGAAATATCTTGTTTCTGAAGAAAGCATTCCACCACTTCTCTACTACCACATATTTCTGTATATAATACATACTTCTTAAATACTAGCCTAAAGCTGGCTGAAATTTCTTTTGTGATTTTCTTTGTTATGGATTTTGGGTTAATGTTCCTGGATTCTGGCAGACCTAAACTTTTATTATTTTTTGTTGGTTTTATAAAAAACCTCATTCTACCTTGTGATTTTCTTTTTTTGTAGTTACTTTTTCACACCTTTTAAATCTTTTAAATGATATAAATATAACAAAAATTACTAGGGAAAATTTAAATCTGATATTTTAAAAAAGATTTTATTTCCTTATTATTTATTTCTTAAAACTATTTTATACAAAACATCATAATCTTCTGTTTCCTACATTTTTTGTTGTTGTTGTACTTTTACATATTTATTTATATATTTACATATTATTTATACATTATTATTCATATATTACTTTTACATATTTAATGAACTATTTTTTAAAAGATTATAAACATTTTATAGATAAATTTTATCAGTTATGAACTTTATGTGAAATAATAAGAAACAAAAAGTTTTAATTCCAATAGATAAAAATTTTCTTTACATAAATAAAAAATAATTTCATAAACTAAAATAAAAAAAAAAAAGATAAATTAGCCAAACATTCAACTTTTTAGGTCTAACTAAAAAAAAATTTAATATTGAAAAATATTAAAATAATACTGAACTGTGTAAGGAAATATAATGTTTAATGGAAGGTGAGATAAATCCAATAATTAAATATAAAACTGTAAAAATTGTAAAACCTTTGCTGATATCAAAACCTTTTCATATAATAATAAGATTAGTCTTATTATTTTATTTAATAAGATTATCTAAATGTAGACATTAAAGCAAAGTTCTACTTTCAAAATATGATACAGGTAATTAGGCAGCCTTTGTTAGATTTTTCTTATCTATTTTGTTTTGTTTTGTATAGTGTTATTTAGTTTATTTACCATTTCAGCCATTAAAGACTCATCTGATTGTGCACTTGAACCTAATATATTTCAACAAGAATTATTGTTTACAAAAGACAAAGTCTATCATAACACGCTGTAAGTCTAATTATCGTAATGTTTATAATTATCCTGACTCAAACAATGTAAAACAATCTATTAAGTTTACTTACGATTATCTGTTAGATGAGTCTGTTAATTTACGTAAAAAATCAAATAAGCTCATATGAAGTCACAATGCCAACTATAAACTGTATAGATACCGAACAAGTTTGGGCTTGTCTAAATTTTTGAATTGAAAAGATTTTAGTAGGTTGCATTTACAAGCCACCAAATTCAAATGAGCTTACTAATGAGAAAATTATAAATATTATAAAAAATGCCAAAAAGTTGATTGATCTTTACAGATCTCATAATTACAGGTGATTTTAATTATAACACAATTAGATGGTTTTTAAACAAAGCATTACCAGTTGGTACTCAAGCTGAAAAAATTGTAAGTTGTCTTGATGAATGTTTTTTAAACCAATGCGTTGTAAATCCAACATTTCCAAGAGCCACTTGTCATGAAACAAACATACTAGACTTAATAATAGTAAATAATGCCAATAGAGTCAAATGGATTCAACATAGAGCTCCTTTAGGTAACAGAAATCAAGGTCATCACATGATAACATGGCAATAAGTGAAAATTTTGTAAGCAAGAATAACACCTCTAAAAAAAATTTTAAATTAGGAAATTATCTTGAGATATCAAACTATATACACTTGATAGATTGGAATACTCTTTTCTTAAACAAAAATATAAACAATTGTTGTGAAATTTTCAATTACCGTTACCAAACAGTTTGTTAAAAATTTATTCCATTAGTAAAAATTAATCGTAATAACAGAAAAATATTTCTTAACAAAGAGATTATAAATGATATCAAAAAGAAGAATAAACTCTGGTCTATCAATAGATCTTCTTTATGGACGGATAGTTTAAAAAAATCCCAATATAATAAAGCAAAAAGAGAAGTATGTAAACAAGTTAAAAAAGCTACAATAGAGTACGAAAAATACATAGCTAAAAAAGAAAAATCAGACCCAAAACTGCTGCATAATTATATCAACAGAAAACAAAAAATGAAAAATTATTTAATATCAATTGAAGATTCTAATTCGTGCATCATTACAGACCAAAAGCAGATCGCTGATACTTTGAATTAATATTTTCAATCAGTATTTATAGGAGATAAAGATGATATTTTACCAAAATTAAAAAAAAAGTGTTTCAATTCACTTCAGTCTATTAGTATTACCTCAACTGAAATTATTAATATGATAAATGCTATAAACCCAAAAAAATCGGTTGGACCAGGTGGGATTCATCCTTTTGTATTAATAGAATGTGTAAATGCTTTTTCTAATCCATTGACTTTATTATTTAACAAATCAATTTATGAAGGTGTAGTACCTATTTCATGGAAGACAGCAAACATAATATCGCTGTTTAAAGATGGCAGTAGAAATAAAGTTTCAAATTATAGGCCAGTTTCCTTGACTTCAATTCTTTGTAAAACTTTAGAACGTTTAATATCTAACCAACTCTTACATTATTTAAAGATTAAAAATTTATTATTTTCTAATCAGCATGGTTTTACAAAAGGCAAAAGTTGCACAACTAATCTCCTGGAGTACATGGATATAGTAACAACAGGTGTTGCAAATGGTAAATCGTTTGATATCCTTTATACTGATTTCAAAAAAGCCTTTGACAAAGTTTCACATAGGAGATTAGCACTAAAACTTGAAGCATATGGCATTACATCTACGTCATTGAAGTGGATAATTTCTTTTTTAACTGATAAGAAGCAAAGAGTTTATCTTGATCTTGAAATGATCTTCCAAGTCAGCTTACAAACCAATTGTTGTTGTATGCAGATGATTGTAAGGTAATAGCTGAAGTTAATAATGAAACGGATGCACATGCTTTACAAAATGACATTTCTATGTTAGAAAAATGGGTAATAAACTGGAAAATGCTATTCAATTTTGAAAAATGTAAAATTATGCATATTGATAACAAAAATAAAAATTAAAAATATTTCATAACTAACAATAATATAACGCAAGAATTAACTTCAACTTAAGTGGAAAAGGATCTAGGCATATTAATTTCGAATGACTTAAAAAGGTAACCACAAATCAAAATTGCATCATCTATTGCAAACTATAAATTTGGTATAATCTGCATATCATTTAAGTATAAAAATAGTGAACTAATAAAATTATTGTATTGTAGTTATATACGGCCGCATTTAGAGTTTGCAACACAGGTATGGAGTCCTTATCTTATAAAAGATATAAATATATTAGAAAAAATTCAAAAACGAGTAACTAAATCTGTACCTGAGCTATGCCATCTATCATACAATGAAAGACTAGAAAAAAATGAAATTAACATCTTTAAAACAACAAAGAATACGAGGTCAAAAGACTGTTTGTAGGATTATCTGATCCCAATAATTAGGTAAACTAATTGAGACACAAAAAAGGAAGTGTATAACAACTTCCTTTTTGTCTCTCAAGTAGTTTTACCCCTAAAACAGTGTTCATCTAAAAGTATTTGACTACTGGTTGGATATCTTTAGTTGCACTCTAATGAAAAGGGCTTGAATTTTATAATGTTTAATCACAAGGTGAAGGGATATCAAGTATGGCCTTTAAACCGCCTCCCCTGGTGTTGTCAGCCTTGATATCTCAATGACTGTATAATCAAGCGGTTGGTCTCATCTATTCAGGAGCATCACACCATCAATAGTAAATATGTGCTATGATCTCATTTAGCAATCTCACTATATTAATTTTGAGAATTCTTAGGCAATTTCTTAAAAAGTGTATATGGATTGCAATTAAAAACCATGATCAGGTTTTGTCTGGGAGAAATAAATGTCAAGCTTGTACAAAAGTAAGCTTTGATAAAATTTGCTTTACATAAAATGCTTAATCAAATATGCCGTTATAGAGTTTATTGACTTAAAAAAGAATTAATAGCAAATACTATTTATTATTAACAAAATGCTTCAAGTTTTTTTAAGGTTTTTTAATAAGTTTTTAAATTTTTGAATAATATTTTTTTTCATTAGAGTATCAGATAATCTATCTGTCCAAGAAGAAAAACTTCTACAAAAACTTAAACATCAATACAATCAACTAAAAAAAGTGATTATTTCTAAAAATGAAAATTTATCATACGCCAAGTTATCTAAATTGATTTTGGCAGCAAGATCTGATGTAGTACAACTTGCGAATGTTCTAAACACAGAAGATCGTACAAGAAAACTTTTTAAGTACTTAATTCTTTCTTATTGTTATTGTTGTGAAATTTTTTTATTCTTACTGTTTTTTAGCAAAATCTCAAATCTTTTAAGTTTAAGGAAAAATCTGTTTTTTCTTGAAAATTTCAAATGATTTTGATATTTCTCAAATAAAATTTCATTTAGAAGTTTTACAAATTTTCACAAATTTGTGAAACTTCTTAATGAATTTGATACAAAGAAAAAATTATTTATTTAATCATAAATAAAATTTTAAAAAAAATTTTCATTTTCTGTTTTTAAAGTATTTTGAAAGATTTCTATTCTCGTTGTGTTTTAATTTAGAAATCATTCTAAAATAACAAGGTACAGAATTCCATGTTCATTGATAACTGGTTCAATTCAGTGCTTTAACAGTTCACTTCCTTTTACAAAGTTTTGTAAACAACGTATCTTTTCACTATTTATTTTTAGCTCTTTATTGTTTTAAAACTAATTTTTTTAAATTTTTTTAATTTATTTAAAGCAGTTGCGTAAGCTTTTGTATACATAATAATTTGTTGACATTGTTATGGTTTTTAGTCATATCATGAATTTTAAAATGTTTATTACCTGGTTGATTTTTTACGGATATAAATTTTATCCAAACTCAGCTGTCTTGCAAATTGCATAAGATTTAAAAGATAAAGTGGCAATATGTAACAACTGTTCATTGATTAAAAAATCAGATTTTTGTCTGTTACCCAGATTTATCTTATAAAAATATTATTGTAATTTATTTAAAAAAAAATTAAAAATGTCAAAATAATTATTAATATTTAAATCTAAAGTATTACCATCAATGGTTAAACAACTAGCTTTTTCTTTTTTTCTGTAATCAGAGTAGTACACAATGCAATTAGTCAAAAAATGTTTTTTATAATGTCTTAATGATATCCTAATATTTATTATTGGATATCTTACAAAAAGGGGTAGAGAAAGTAAACATCATGATTGATGTTTACTTTCTCTACCCCTTTTTTCTGTTAATGCCCCCAAAGTGGCTTTTATTAAAAAAATAAAAATAAATAGATCTTGTCATTTAAAAGTTATGATCTTATAATTTAATACCATTTTGTCTTCTTTTTTTTAGTTGTTAAGGTGCTCTAAAATATTCTAACAGTCTTATCACAGAGCACTGCAAAATAGTATTTAACTAAAAAGTTTGGGTCGCCATTTTTATTGATATTAAGTATATGGCTGGAGCAGGTCTCAAACTTTAACCACTGTGCCACGGCTGGTCAAGTGACTTTAAGTGGCCATAAATTTTGGCTAAATAAAATTATAAAATAGAAACTTTTTATAAATTTTTTTATATCTTTTGGTTACAACTATATCTTATCTTTATCTAAATAGAATTTTTTTAAATATTCATGGAAATTTTTAACAAAAATTTAAAAAACCTTAACTTAACTTTTAGACCTGCATCACGATGATCAACAGAAACTTTTTACAAAATGTTATGATAAGCATATAAATAGAGCAAAGTGTCCTGGTTCTAAGTTAAATATTTTTCAAGATCAGCATGTTTTAGTTAAAAAGAAAAAAAAGACGGTGAGATTTTTTTGAAGTTTTGCTTCATTTAAGCAGTTTGAACTGATTGTTTCTAATTTTTTTTTTTTTTTAATTAATTTTTTATAACATTTTAAAATAAAGTTAAAACCAAAGAAATCGAAGTTAAATGAAAACGAATCTGAACTTAACAAAACGGAAGAAAATTTGTCAGATTTAAATGAAAGCTTTTCCTCAGAAACATCTAGCGATTCATATACATCATCATCAGAAAGTGAAGATGTTGAAGATGGGGATGGTGATAGTTCGGCATCTGAAGACGCTTTCCACCTTCCACCTGCTTCTCTATCATTTGCTAATGGGTGTCGTATGGACGAGGATGAAAATTTGTTTAGAAATGGTAATTGTGAACTTGATGATGAAGACGATGAGCTAATGTGTTGTTCTAATGAATTTTCATTTAACTCTAAAGTCCCAAGGGAGCTATCATCTCCAACACTTAATCAACTTTCAACATCCGATTTTGATGTTTCATTTAACACATTAATGGATTCTGCGCAATCTTTAGAAAACGAAAGTAATGCAATGTCTGGATCTTTTTTATCATATGAGCATCCAGAAAACGAACACAGCACTCCTCAAAATCATCTTTTGAATAAAAAATTAAGAATAATAACAAAAAATCCGCTAGCCTATAACGCAGTAGAAAAGACAAAAAATATTTATATGAAAAACAATGATATCGAATTAAAAAATACTTCAGCTAATAGAGTTTTGAAAAGAAAGCAAGATTTTAACCACCGTTCTTCATCAGTGATTACCAAGCCAATTCAAGTTGAAAACTTCAATAAAAGATTTTTAGGGGAATCAATGAATATTATGACACCTCTGTGTCACGATAAAAATATATTTGACGTCACTCATACAGAAGTTTCCTCTCCGCTTGAAAAAGTCAATCCGGACATATTTTTCTCTTCCGTATTCCCTTTAACTTCAGATAAATGCTAATTATAATCAAGTGAAAAACGCTCATTTTAATTCTAGTGTGGTATGTTTTAAATGACAACCTAACTAGAAATTTTATTTATTTTATTATTTACTTATTTCAGTCTTAACAGAACAGTACACGCAAAAATAATTTTTTTAAGGATATCCTTTTTCTTTTTAAAAGTATAAACAAATAAAGTTGAACTCTTAAAGGCTATTTTTTTATAAAGATTTTATGTATATATATATGTAGATACTAGGATTAACGCAATTAAAACTTCTTTCATGTGATGTAAACATATTTTAAACTGATGACATGACAAAAATGTTAGTGTTATAAAATTTTAAAAACCTAGGAAAATCATCAAAGTTTATAGATGAACTTCCTCGGTTGTTTTTTCCTTAAATATTTTATAGTTCAAACTCAGTCACCTCACCTAGTTTATAATTTTGACAAATTTTCTTTAAATAACGTAATATTAATAAATGGATTAATACTTAAACTAAGTCAAAATTATCCGCGCCATATTACCATATTATAAATGTGTGTGTGTGTGTGTGTGTGTGTGTGTGTGTGTGTGTGTGTGTGTGTGTGTGTGTTAATGTATATTAGAGTACGTCATACTTTTAAAAAAATTTTTATTAAAATAAAAACAATTTGGGTAGTGATTTTATTGTGTGGTATGTATTTTTTAGCAACATTAAAATAAAACTTTTTTTTTTTGGGGGGGGGGGGTAAAAATGAACTCGAAAATTGCAATATTTAAATAAATAACGTTAAAATTAAAACAATGGATAAAATTTAAAAATTATAATGAAAATTAATTTTTATTACACATTATAAATCAACAATATCTTTTTATGGGAAATAAAATTTTCTTTAAAATCAAGCTTGAACATCCACTCTAAACAATTTGATTAAATCTTTCTTGGATTTCAGATTTGGAACAACATCTCTGTGCTCTATTCTTGCTCTAATAAAACCATCACATCTCTGAAAACCATAAACAGCAGCTGCTGCTTTAGTCACTTGTTTAACATCTCTTTCACAAGACTGGGTCTGGAGAGGATAGTAAGGTACTTCCATAGGAGAATCTATTACTTTTTGTAAATCTTTTTTTGTCATGTTACATGTAAAATATGGCTCCAAGATTTGTTCGTTACTCCAGTCAATGAGTTCAATGAGAGTCATAGCATCAAAGTTAAGTGTAGATTTTTTTCGGTTTCTTACACTTACATTACCTTGTTCTAAATCTCCCCTAACTTTCATAATCATCTTGACTGCAAAAGCTCTATTTTCAATTGCAAGAAGAGAAATAAGAAGAGGCTCAGAATGAGCAAGAAATGCCCCATTTTGAACAGAATTACTAACAGCATTCATAACTTCAACAGTTTGACTTCTTAATTGATAAAGAAGTTTGATTAGATGATGGGGCCCATCGACAATAGAATGCTTCACCTTGATTCTAAACCACATATGAAAGTATACTTGAGCCACAAACTGAGAAAGAACTTTTAGATTTTTTAAAGTATCACCTTCTAAGCCATGTACACTATTGTAAAGCCAAAGAATTGCCTGACCAGTTGTGAGCCACCTGCTATCGCAAAGATTACCACATTTTCTGTTGACAAGTGAAGGATTCAAGATACCTGATTCAAGACAAGAAACTAACTTGAAGCTTAGTGAAGCGTCGGTTGACATATTCTTTAAAATGTCATCCGGAATTTTAATCGAAGGTTCAATTTGTCTAATTTGGTTCAAACTTTTCTAGTCGTTTTAATTGATTTACTTTTGATATTAGTTTGCCTGTAGGCCCTTTAAATCCATCCTTGGAGTTTGTAGGTCCATCAAGATTTGCAATAAGGTGTCTTTAAGGTAGCTCATTGGTATGTAATATACAAATTGACCAAAAACATTTTCTTCCAATAAGTTTCTCCAGGTGAGTTAATAATCCGCCGTTGTTACCAAATCCAGTCATTGAATTTGTAGAATCAGATCCAATCACAACTATAGTTTGATCAATTTTGTCTGGGAACCATCCAGTTATAAAGATCGATTGCAGCTTCTTTAGCTGGTTTGTTTGGACCCTTTGAAGGTGTGTAATGAGTCAAATAGCTTCCATCTGGTTCAGAAGTAACACTTATGTTTTCTTGCTTTTCTGTTCTTCGACAAAACGTTTTAGTAATTGAATCTTCAATTAAAATTAGATTAGGATCTTTTCTTCCATCTACAAATATGCCTTTAATAGGAGCTTCAATAATGAGTTTTTCTTCCATCTACAATAATGAGTTTTTCTGACAAAACTCTAGTTTTAGCCATAACCTCTTGTCTGGCTCTCCAAATTTTTTTAGGATCACATGCTAAACTAGCCATTTTTGGAGTCAAGTAATTTGATTTGATCATATCTTGAAGGAAAGCAGATACAATTGCAGATGTAGCAGCAGGAGATATGTCAAATTGAAGAAATACTAGTGCTGTTTTAGGGATCTTCATGTAATTATGTTTAGTGTTGATAAATCGGGAAGTTTTTTGATTTATATTATTGGAGCCTTCTTCTGAGGATTCTTCATTTTCATTTTTAATTTTTTCAGGTGAGGTTTTTTGATTAAATCATGCCCCACTGATTCATAAACTTTGTCTTCGATGTTTTTAATTTGAACTTGTGTATTAATATAAGGTTTTTTAATTAAATTTTGTCTTTTTTCTAAAAATGCAATATCTGTTATTTTACGTTTCACTGCTTTAACCTGTTTCTTCCTTGTCTAGTTGATATATTTGGTAGCCTGATTTTTCACCAACCTTATCTCTTTGAGATCTAAGCCATAAAATCAAGTTGTGGCAATTGCATAAAATATGTACTTCTGCAGAACAATTTTTAACTTCCTCACAAGGAGAATTTTTATCTGTACAAAGTAATATGTTACACCTACATTTTGTTATATCTAACAATTTGTCCAGCTTACCTTCCCATAATTTGACAGTTTTTTCTTTTGTTTCTTTTTGATTAGAAATGTCTCTAAACTTAAGCCAGGCAGTTAAAATTTTATCTGACAGCGTTTTTTAAGATATGACTACAGGAGTCTTAAACAAAGCGTTGGATTGAGACCATTGTTTCAATACCAAGTCTGCCAATACCACCGTGGTTTCTTTTACAGGTATGAGACATCTCCTACAAAAAATGTAAAATTTAAACTGTTTTAACATTTTAAATGCTGATCCTCATCGAAACGCCAGTAATAATAGACGCGACTCTGAGGACATGTTTATTACTTAATCACTACACAAATTATGTTTACACATTAGCATTAATGTTTTTTTTTTTCCATTATTAATTGCCTTTCATTGTTATCATATTTTTTATTTTGTGATCGGTTTTTTGTTTTATAAGTTTTTGTCTGGTGATGTATATCTTCGTTCATATTGGTGTTTATAAAACAATTTTTTTTTTTTTTTTATTGTTATTATTGTTGTGGGTGTATAGCCTGTCTTAATTATTTTTAAATATTCCTCTATCAATCTTTATTTTTGTCTTGACAACTGTCAAAATATGCTTTGTCTAATAAATAATTCTCCTTTATTCTAATGTACTTCATTTCTTCTCTCAGGCGTTCACTGCTCGTGTGTCACCATTCGGCGAATTTTATATGCCAAAGTTTTTAAATAAAATTTAAACTGTTTTAACATTATTTGAAATACTTGAACTTGAACTAATACTTGAACGTCCTTTAAATGTCCTAAGACGCCCAGCGGCTGTCCAGATGGATGTTCTATGGATGTTATTGGACGTTTTGTGCCTACTAAAAGTTTATTAGAAATTCACTTTTCAATATCATTTCAAAAAACTCACCTATCAAGATCATCAGAAAGAAGCAAACTTTTCTGAATAAGTAGACCTTTCCTTAGTATATCTCTCAGTGTAGGAACTTCAGTTTCCAACCAATCTTTTTCTACTCGAAGATACTTAGTTAAATTAGTTGTAGAAGAATGTCTAGTCACTTTTAAACTCTCCATAATACAATATTCTATTTTTTTTATTTTTTTTTTTACTGTAATACAAAAACAATACAAATCACAAGTAAAATCAACAAATATTGCAAATATTTATTATTGAAATATACACAATTAAATTCACTACTAACTCAAAGCAAATAACAAGTACAAAATAACTGTGTTCTATAATTTATAGATTACAACTACAAATGGACTTGTTATAAATTGGATGATTAAAATTTTAATATACGTTAGTAAAGTTTTGTTAATTTTTTGTCGTAAAAATGTATTTTTTAGCGCTTTTTTACATTTTTCAAGTTAACTTTTACACAAAAAAATTTTTTTTTTTTTTTGCATATTGCTTAGCTTACCCCAACCCATAATAAAATCACTCCCCAAATGTAATTTTCAAAAAAATTTTAGTATGACGTACCCTAATGTATATATATTTCAAGTACATGCATATTATGTACATACATTGCGAAGCCATTTTACAACATCTCTAAAATTCACAAAATGCACCAAAAAAGTTGTTTTTGTTTCCTTGCCTAGTTTTTTTGTCAAATGTTGTATTTTTTTATTCCACGTTTCTATAACTAGTTTTAAAATGGCAAAAAAGTTTTCAGTTTATTGATACCAAATGTGCGGTTTAATCGTGACATTTCATTAAGGTGGCTCTACTGTTAAATAAATAACTTCTGCATTTTAAAGATAAATATTTCCAAATAAAAGAATGAAATGAATAATGAAATGAAAAGAATAACAATTTTTATCTAAAAATACACTCCAAAAAATTATAAAAATTTTTTTGTTTTGCTGAGTCAGCAAAAATAAGTAAAATATAAACACACTTTTAAAACTTTATTACTCCTAAAATATACATCAAATGAACCTAAAAATTTCAGAATATCTTTATGGTTCAAACACAAAGGGGCTATAGCAAAAATTTATAAAAAAATATAATAAAAATTTGTGCATCAAAAATGGTGGATAAAAGCAATGGAAGCAAAATAAAGATCAATTTTTTATTTAATATAATTATTCCAAACAAGAGCCACCTTTAACAACTTTCTTTATTTGAACTTTTATCTAATTGCAAATCTTGTGTCGGAAGCGTTGACATGGTTATTTGATGTGTCTAAACTTGTTTTTTCGTGGTTGAGATAAGTAACTTACAGGGGGTGAATTGCATCATTAAAGATGCAAATTTTTATAGTATGAGTACTTTTTCATGTATATACAAATGCGGAAAAATAGGCGTTTTCAAATAGGCCATGGTAATAGTAGATTGAAAACAAAAATAACCTTAACTGTTCGGACCCCAAGAACAATTGTAAGGGAAAAAAGATATAGATTTTCTCTTTTTTCAAAAGGAAGTTGATTGTCGAAAGATTAATTTTTTTTTTAAGGGGCAACTACCCTCAAATTTCAAAACAACACATATAAAGTAACTTTTTCTTTAGTCATATAGTAAATATTATACTGACATTAAAAATACCAAAAAATACATAAATGGTAGCTCGTTGCTATGGCAACTCAAAAAAATAGCTAAAAAACCCACAAAAACTGTGTTTACGCCGTAAAAAAAATAAGAATTATTAGTAAAGGAGTGTCAATGAAATTTTGTAGAACTGTTCTAAATATGTAAATTTGTGATATGAGCGAAGCAGATTTTTGAATAAAAATTTTTTTTTGATAAAAAGCTACATTCAAATTAGATTATTAAAAAAAAGGTCAAAATACAAAGAAAAAAACTCAAAATCTTAAGTCATATGAGAAATTCTACTCCGCTCATATCATAACCATTGGTAAAATGAACGATCCCTGAAAATTTCATCATGATAGCATGTATACTTTTCAAGATTTTTTTCCCAGCGTGTTTAAAAATTAAATTTTTAGAAAACAAAAAATAAAATCATAAATTATTGTTCATTTCATAAAAATATCTTTAAAAAAATAACTTTTTAAAAGAATATTTCAAAAACTACCAGACTCATAATATTCCTTGGACTTTTCTATTGACTTTTGATGATCATCCTTTGATAATCGTTGACGTCGTGAAAGTTTTAAGATGAAACATCTTTTGTTTCATCTTAAAACTTTCACTCGATTTAAATAATGATAGTTTTATTCGTTTTTTGTTTATGAGCCTGCAACCAGCTAAAGTAAAATGCCCTGGTTTCATATTTAGTTTTTCATAAATTAAAATGACAGACTTCATACCGATGTTATAATTTGCAACAGCATCGTACACTCCAAACTCTAAACTGGCTAAACCAACATAATTACTTTTTGGTAATCTATACCATATTAAATTATTAAAACTCTCGTTGCAATTCTGGGTTTTGCCATGAAGACACTTTACTAATTCAGAATCTTTACTTAAATCAGCATATATTGGCTTGATTTTGTGAATAATATCCGCAGGAATTCCTGGTCCAGGTTTGTATATGGAAGTAGACTTTGCTTTATCAATGTTAAACTTACACCAACTATCACCTCCAGTCGGGCAGTAAATATGATAGTTATTTTCCTTAGAAGAAGCTACATGGAAAAGGCTAGCTAATACTGCTTGTTTCATTTTATTCAGATCATTTGGTAGTAGATCATGCGGTAGTGGTGTAGTGGTAGAGCGCTCGCTTCATAAACGAGTGGTTCCGAGTTCGATCCCCACCACGTCCCTGGTAGTACCGCGCTCAACTCGTTTCTCTGCGCAGCGGCCTTGTTCGTCAAGGTTCGTGTTTCGGAGTTATAGAGTTGAGAGAGGGTTATAGCCACAAAATAAGTAGCCTCCTCGTCTGTAGTGGCCTTCTCGGCCTTGAGGAGGTAAAGTATAATAAAAAAAAAAAAAAAAATTTGTATTGCTCCGGATAGCTACACCAAAAAAATTTTGCAAGCGATCAATAACTGCATTGGTTAGTCGACCACGACCACCTAGACCCTTAACATTTTTTTTTAACTTGCGTAAGCGAGTACCGACTCGTTTTTGGTAATGTCCTACACACTCCAACTTTTTTACCTCCATATTTGGGTATATATCTTTGATAGAAAGATGGGATTTACTATCCCCATCACCAAGAAATTGAGTATATCTTAACTTGTGTTTTTCGATGGAGCGTTTAAAAACTCTCACTGCGCCAACTGATTCCATACCACCAGCTGTACCTTGATAATTGTACAGGCAAATATGTTTGTTTTTCCAATTAGCATATGCATCAGGATTTGATTTTTTTAATTGTTCTTTCATACAGCAAGCTTTACATGATTTATTCATAGGTTCAACATCGATTATTTTTCCACTATCTATTAAAATTGCGGTAAAAACTCCATTCATTGACTGATATCCTCTTTTCTGCCATGATCCATCACATGATACACCAACATCAACAATATCCTCACTAGTTGCATTTTCTTTCATTTCAGTTGCAGCATCTGACATTGTTTCGTTTGCAACACTTTTCACAATGTTTTTTATTTTAGTTGTAATTTTTGAATAGTTTTTGGGTGTCATGGGTTTTGGCATATTCATGAGCTGAGTAAACTTTTCAATGCCAGTATGACCATGGCCTAAGACTCTCATTGCATATATTGTCCTGTTGTTAATATCAAACCCTTTATCACAAGCAACTGATGTATAAAATTCATGTTTATAGTCACAAGATAGTGTAGTACACTTTAAATATAGCAACGTTGCTAGACCTTTCTTTTTTTTCTGATGATCACCTAAGTACAGTGCACACTTTTCACATTGAGGACACATTAACAATGAAAGAACTTTAGATAAAATTTCAGTGTCTATAATTCTGTAACCAGTAATTCTTTTAATGTTTTTACTTGGTACATTTGTAACAACTTTTACTTTTTTAGCTGATGCTCCTAAAAAATTTCTTTCAATAGAATCACTTACATTACATGCATTTTTATTTTTTTTCACCATAAATCCTCTTCTTTTTTTGTAGTAATTTGTTCTCTGCTTTACTCTATCATTAATATTTTTGTTCAAAATAACACCCAAATCAGTAGGTTTTGTCATATTTTTTAATTTCTGCTGTTATATTAATTAGCTTTGATAACTTGATAAAATCGTATTAAAGTAGAATAACAATAATAACCGACACTTATTACGCAAAAGAAATTATTAAGTAGTTTTCGAGAAATTAACGATTAAAAGGTTTTTCATTCGTTGTATTTAACGATAGGTAACAAAGCTAAAGATTGTTAGTTTGTTTAACAACTGTAGATCGTTTAACTTTTGTAACTTTAACAAACAGTAAAGATGTTAAAACATTGCTGGAATGCTCAAGAACTTAAAATCCCTGATGATCGATATTTTATAACAACTGTTAAGAGGTACGCAAGCTCATTAAAGTTAAAAATTACTACATTTTACGTAATATATATAAATTACATATTTTACAAATACAAACAAAACTTCTAAAAGAAGATCACAATGATCTTATTGTCAGAAGTCTTTTACAAAAAAGAGTACGTGAAATATTATAAAAACGCCTTTTTACAAAAAGAGTACGTAAAAACAACATAAAAACAATAAATCGTACTTAAATATATGAATAAAAATTGTACTTATGTATAAAATAAAATTCGAACATAGATGACTCAAAAGCATAAAACATTAATTTATTACAAAATAAATTAAAAGTATTCTAACATATTTTCAAAACGAAAGAATTAAATCTTTTAATTTCTTGTTAAAAACAGGATAAGTTAGGGGTAAGTCGAAGTTAGGCAAAACGCATTTGTTCCAGAGATGAGCCACAAGATAAGTGATACAAATTTGATTGAATTTAGTTCGACAGTATGTTTCATTTACATAATTATTATTTCTCATGTTAAATTTCCTTAATGGTTTCAAAAAAAAAGGTCTTTAAAAATTAAAGGAGATAAATCATACTTCCACGTATAAACAAAAGATGCATTTTTATATACATTTAGTTTATATATACCGAGGATTTTCATTTTATTAAAAAATATTTAGGAATGTGCAAACCGATCAACAGAATTAATTAAACGGATTGCGTGTTTCTAACAGCCATAAAGACTTTGTAACTTGCTTTGATCAGTGCTTCCTCAGGCAATAACTCTATAATTTATATAACTATGAATAAAAGAATAAAAATTAATAAAAGAATAAAAGTTTTATTCTTTCATTTAGTTTTTTTAATCTAAATAAGCACGCGCTTTTTCGAACTGAAATAATAACTCTTTAGATAACTCATCTGAGTGAATGCAATTATCCATCGGTACAAAAAAATCTTTAAATAAGGCTTTAGTATTAGGAATTAATTTAGATAGTTTAGGGCCAATTTCAATAGAGTATTTATTAAATTCGTGGACTATTGTTTGAGAATTATTTTTATTATTGTTATTCACTTTATTCATGTGTGGCAGGAAACCTGAGCATAATTTTAATTTACCGGTAATTTCTTTAATTATTTCTCAGAAGCGTTTACAGTTTATTTTAGCACCCCTTCAAAAGAAACCTAAAAATATTTATTTATTGGGATATTAAAACAATATTTGAGTATTATAGAAAGATAAATAGTTTTCTTGGAAATGTTGGTCTAAACTTCTTTTTTTACATTACACATTAGTTTGTGATTATAAGCTTTTTCTTAACATTTTTAACTTTTTTGAAAGTGTAGTATAAATGATTTTTCTTGTGAATTTTTAACAAAAACTATTTATTTTATTGAAAAATATGAACGGAATAAAATATGAGCAATAATAATATGAAACTCAAAGTATTCTACAAGATATAAAAGTTTCCCCAATGACTGACCTAGGGAGATAATTGTGCATGTGTTTTCTCCAAAACTAAAATGGAAATAAGTATTTGAGATATTCTGCAGGGGTGTGGAGTCGTAAAAAATAGAAATTTGTAAATAGTTTATTTGCATTCAGGGCAAATAAACTATTTTTGGTTAACTGTTTTGGTAATACAATAATAACGAGATAGTAAAAAAGCGAACTCTATGAAACAAAATAAAATAATAGTTCGCCACAATATAAATTAGTTTTAAGTCACAAATGTAAGAGTTTACAAGATATGAAATAAATGGTGTTCCTGTTTTTTTAAGAAACGGGAGTATTCACAAGTTTTATTGTGCACCTAGGTGAGTAGAATAAGAATGGTTGGAGGTTTTTATGAAACGTCATAATAAACTCTCTGTTTCAGAGAGAGTTTTAGAGTTAACGTAATTGCATCGAGCCATATGTTTTAATAAAACAAAAGTTATTCGTTTTTATGATGAACTTGAAAAAAACAATGTTTAATGCTATGGAATGCAGATTATTCCACCATTAAAATTATTCAACGATAAATCTGGACTGTCTATGTTTCATAAACTAAGGAAAGTTATTACCCTGAAGGGCAAACACAATGTTTGTCACAACATTGGTGGCTTAATAATCTCCGAAAGAGGTAAAAGAATCACTATAGTTTGTTGCCAATTAGCAAGCGGATTTTTTTTCGCACCAATGTCGATTTATCCACGTATGCGAGTGAGACCTAAATTTTAAGATAAACCCCCAGCAGGTTCTATTTCTGGTAGCAGCAAAATGGCTGGATAATAACTGAGTTGTTTAAAAAATGGTTTGATCATTTTTACAAGCAATCTATCCACAGTCAAAAAACCAACTAGCTCTTTTAATTTTGTACGGACATTCAAGTCATAAAAAAAATTTAGTTTTATTAAAAAAGCTTGCCAGACAAATGTTATTATTTTATCACCCCGTCCCACTGCACGCACAAACAACAACCACTTGATGTTTCATTTTTTAAAAGCTTTAAAATATTCCATGCTTGCACTTGGCTTCTTCACCATCCAGTTTGCCCTGTAACTGAATTAGAGGTCATTGAATTATTTGTAATAGCTTATGGAAAGGCTGCAACTGTTTAAAGTTGTCATTCAGGGTTAAAAAAAATGTAGAATATATCCATTTGATAGAAATGTGTTCACAGAAGAAGATTTTGGCGCAGCAAAGACTATTGATTACTTATATTTAGTATCAAATATTTCAAAATCATATCTTACCGGTAAAATACACCTACACTTAACAAAGGATTAAACTCTAAGAATTAAATCATATTGATTTTGTCGCAGATTGTTTAATGTTATTCAAAAAGGTAAATAATTTTAAAAATTGTGTTTTTTTGCCACTTTCCGCAAGATATTTCAAACATAAATATAATTGACACTTTAGAAGTCATTAAATTTAGCCACCCCTTATAAAACCTCACAGCCAGGGTCGTCCCGAAGAGGTCTTCCATGGGAGCGGGGGGCTGTAAGTATTATTTTGACAACTAAATACACACACTCACACAAAAAAGAGAAAAAAAAAAAAAAAGATCCTCAATACTTGCAATTTGCCAACTATAAATATAGCAAACTATATTTATATTTAAATTTGCCAACTATAACTTTAATATAAATATAGTTGGCAAAATGTCAACTATATTATTAAATATAGTTGGCAAAATGCCAACTCAAAAAGCATTTCAGTTGGCATTTTGCCAACTATATTTATTATATCAACTCAAAAAGCATTTCACATTGAGAAAAACTTGCTCAATGTACCAACTCAAATGCTTATATGACAGCTTTGAGGGGGTGGGACACCCCCGACACCCCTTCGGGACGGCTCTGCTCACAGCCTAATGGTTTTAGATTTAGATCATTAGCTGGACTTGACATTAAAAATACAAAACAAACAGGTAAAAAAAAGAAGGGTAAATCATGCTGAAAAAGTTAACATATAAATTCAGGTAACAGGTTTTTAACATTAAAAAAAAGAATAAACAACCACGTAAAAAGTGCGTTAAAAAAATATATCTACGCATCAAAGACGTGTTTGAATAACTCTGGTAGGCAGTTTAGGCAATATTTTGAAATATATTAAGGAATATAATGCATTATATTCCTTAATATATTTCATTTTCAAAATGGTTTCAACCATCTCTGTAGCTTATTTAGTTTCAAAGATATACGTGTTTTAATATTTTTAATTCATAGACTTTTTATGAAATATTTTCTTAAAGTATCTCGTTCAATTTTTGGCACCGAAAAAAAAAACTTTTTTTTTTTTTTTTTTTTGCGTAAAAAGTTGCGTAAACTAACTTATAATAAAATTTTATTAGAAAATAAATTGTAAATCTAAATTATTTGAACAATTCATAAGTAGAATTTTTTTGGGGGTTAACGCAGACGTACCATGAAATAGTCAAATAACTGTATAATATGTTTAAATATGTTTTAAACTTTTTTGACACAAAATAAATTTTCAAATGTTTTTATTTATAATACGTTGAGCGTAACAAAACTTTGATGATAAATATTAACTTAAATTAATTTTATTTTTCTTTAATAAATTATCAATTGAACAACGTGGACCCAAATAAAACACGCCGAAAACGTCAAAATATGTACAAAATAAACATAAATCTAAAATTTATTTTTACACAAACAAATAAAGAAATTAGTCAAAGACTTGTTAATAATTTCAGTATTGTTATAGATTTAAAAAAAGATTTAACCACTTATAGTCTACTGATTCGACTAATTTATTGTTTTCAGCACCTATCATAATATAAAAAATGTTCTATTTTTTAATGGGGTTAAGGTTTTTAACTTTTTTTAAAATTTTGAAAACAGTGAATGAAAAACTCGTTGAATTGTTCTATTTCATTGTGTTTGGCTTTATTTGATTGTGTACTCTCGAGTCCTTAATTCCAAGGAGGGGGGGGGGGCGTTTATTAATTTTGGGGAAACTTTGCCACCCACACTAAGCTTATTAAGATCCCCCTCCCGTTTATTAATTTTACTTGTTTTAACAAAAAAATTATATCTAAAAACTAAAAAAAAATTAGTGAAAATCAGCTTTAAAAATCAAAAAATACATACTAGTTACAAAAAATAC